GTTTAGAACAAATTTAGCGAACTTCTTTGTGTGGATCCGGTTAAACCCAGGGGGAAGCCATGATTATTTGTTCATTATTAAAAGACGCTCATGCACGTTATCGTCCAATATTTAGAATTTGCCTTTCCTAATATGGTAGGATGAAAATACCCCGTAAAATACCGCAAAATTACGACACGCTGTAACTTATGGCGTTACGGTGACAGATACTACTCAGTAATATAGAGAACGGAATTTACAAGAGAATCAATCGCGATAATTAATATTTTACTATGATACTAAAATGCTAATACTAGGATATGGTCCTTTTTATTATTTAAAAGGAATTCTGTCAGTTGAGTGTTGTAGAACATGTAGCAGTTTCAAAAAGACAGCTCGAAATCATATAGCGTGCGATTAACGCGGATCTTCAGTGTCAGTGATTAGATAAGCGTGCGGAAGTCGAATCTCTGACGTCACGTGCTATTATAGTATATTTCTGCTTACATTTGTGACTCCGTTCGCCATGCAGAGAATAATAAACGTCGTTGATATAAGACGGCTCGAAATAGCGTGCAATGAACGCGCGTCCGTATAATATAAATTAGGCAACTCAGGAACATTTAACAATCTATCCTCACATAAAAGAGCATAACAACTCCGGATATAATATGCTTAGGAAAATGTGACTACAAAGACTGACTAAAATCGCAGTGCTTATCAGCCCGAGGTGGGGGGGGGGGGGTGCAATACATAAATACATAGAATTTGCCTAATGGGGACGTGCCCCAGAAATGGGTCTCGTTTTGGGGATTTTAGGTATAAATATCGGTCTTAATTCTGGTAAAGATAGGTATAAATATCGGTAATATTTTTCCGATTTGGTATACTTATGTAAGTGACATAGGTGTTTCTATGGTCAAAATACATATTTTAATAAATCAATATACAATGCAACTGTTGGCTTACATGTGCTTCTATTGGAGATGCTCTTCTAATAGAGCAAATGCGATAACTGTTTTATTTGGAATAAACAGTGATGACAGAAATGGTATTTTGGTATAAATATGGGTGTGACGATGCCACTATCCAGGTATAAAAATGGTCACACTTTTGAGCACTCAGGGGAACCTCCTTACCCAGCTATGTATCAACTGCCCCGGGCTCATCAGAAAATTAAGCTAATGTATGTTTTAGATATCCCGAAGTTCTATATGAATACGTGGAACAGAGAGGCATGGTTGAACTTCTACACAATCATGCAACTGAAACAGAGCACTATTAGCTAATCTCTTGTTAACGGGTTATTCACATATGTGACATAGAGTATATCTACGCCATCATACACATCATATAGGGGTAGCACAGTTTGTTTAACTGACGGAAATGCCAATAGACAAGCAAGTTCATTTCGAAAATGATGCAATAAAAACATGCGATCATTTGTTGTATCATTTGATGCTTCTATCAATAATGTGAGGTTACCACGAAAATACCGCAAAGTATACACTAAGGCAGTACGGCGATCGTATCGACCGACGCGTAGCGGATGTCTATGTGGTCCTGTACTGCCTGATTGCACACTTTGCGGTATTATGGTAATAATCTTATTATTATACATCATATACTGCTCGTAGTCATAATTTAGTGAGATATAACAACCCGAAATTCTAGAGTAAAACCTGTGCGACCAGTGACGTGTAAACAAAAAAACGTATTCGAATGTAACGTAAATATGATGATATGACTAATAAGGACTATATTCGGACGCCTTCTTGAAACTCATAACGCGTCTTCATGACGTTTTACAAACAAAGTGTCTTATTTTCATTATTTTGTAATTATATATTTTATAATTCATTAACATTTTTTGATATTATCTTGGATTTGCCACGCTGATTAGGTCTACCCAAGCTGTGCATATCATTACTTATAATCGTGTATGAAGTTTGCAGAATAGATCAAAGTTACAGTCTTCAGTGAGATGTGTTGATATTTTACACGTACAGGATTTATATGTATTGGTATGTATTTTTACTACAAAATAATTCCTGACTTGCCGTTTTATCTTTCAAAAATCGTTACTCACGTAGAACATGTCCATATATATCACGAAGTTTAAGAATCGCGTACCTGCATAGTACTTCGACGCGAAAGGCTGTCAATATCTCATTGAAGGTGAGAGTTCCACAGACTTGTTTTTTTCCCGCAATGGCGTCTTTTTCTCCCCCGTAATCGCCTCCACTGTTACAAATACGTGTCTAAGAACTCACCAGCTGAATACACTTGATATAAATTGTCTTTTAATCACCCGTGCAAGAAACATATGCAGCAATAGCTCGTTTCTTTTTTTGTTTGTTTTCTTTACTTTCAGAAGTATATATTAAGTATAGACCATTTCGAGCACAGTTACTTAGGTCAATTTATATAGTTAGGAGGTTATCACCTCCGCCTGCAGTGCCTAGGCGGTACGCCGTCTTCACAAGTTCAAATCACGTTTTTAAATGTTGTTTGTTTACCGTAATTATTTGTACTGCTTTTGTAAAAATAAGTTGTTTATTTTAAACCACGATATACAGTGCCCTTGCGGAAAATCATTCGTTGCTGTATCAAAACCGCTATGTTTAGACATTTTTTTTTACAAACGTAGATCACACACAATGATACTAACAAGAACAAATCCCATCGATATCTATCACTTTATTACCATTAAATTATCTTGCCAAGGGCATTGAGTTATTAATTGATTTTTTTAAAACCATTCCGCTGTTTGGAGCTCAGTGATAGACTATTTTGCTGTAAGGATGTTACAGTTGAGTCGATATGAATTAAATATACGTAAATAGTATTATAGTATAATATGTAACAAGAAATGTATTTTTGCAAACATAATAGAAAATGAGAGGTAATATTCGGTCAGATTTCAAAACCGGGCTGTGTACACCACCCGGTTTGCCAAAGCAAGGTTACATCAGAAACATCAAACCTGAGTGAGTTATGTTTTGCTAAACGTTAGTAAATAAACTACTACTCAAATATCCATTTGTTACTCTCAAACTTGAATGAAACAAATTGTGTTTTGTAAAATATTTATAGAATATAACGCACACGGGCAAGCTTACGCGACTATGCAAATCCAGTAATACATTTGTATGTCTCAAAAACAGCAACGAAAGAATTCTACTCAGGATCATGGACTTCGGAATTACAATATTTTCCCTGGCAACAGCAGAAGCGGAATCCGTATCTGGCATCAGCTCCTTGGCAACGATCAGATGAGGAACATGCTAAGTTACTGTTAGTGCTCCAGCATCCCTGCAGTAGCATGTCATTAACAGTCTCGCCTTCCAAATCGTAGCTTTGCCACATCGAATAGCAATAATCATTGCCTGCAGCACACTCCTCTACTTTGGAACATTCAGGCTGGTCGTTGTTGCAAGTCAAGTAGTGATATGAAACACATTTTAGAGCTGAAAATATAAAAGTAAAAAACAAACAAGTTAATAGTATATTATAAATATATTCACTTCTCACATAATACCGACAATAACATGAACCATCAGTTGCATTCGGGGGAAGTATTTGAAACTAGACTAGACATGTTTAAAGTTTCACCAACTTAAATCGTCTTTTTTTACTGTCTGAAAAATGAACACTTATGTGACTGTTTCACATTCACAGTATATCAGAAGGGCACACGTCAATGACAATCCAATTCATTTCACATCTCGAAAGAAAATGTGCAGGTAAATAATTCAAACCAGGCTTGCATCAGAGTACAAGCCATGGGAATATCTATTGGTCAATGGAAATGACAGTGAGATAATTCCCAATCAGGGGATTGATCGGTTTTTACATTAAATCTCTGCCAAATGCAGGTCCTAAGTGAATTACATATCTCTAAGGACACGTGTCTAGGCATGCCTGATTAATTGGTTCCTCTTGGCATAAGAGTTTTAATGTTAAAGCCCATCAGACAATTTGCCCTTATAACCCATTTTAATACGTGACTCAAATGTAAGCGTTAAAAGCGGAAATTTTGCATTTTCCGTGGATGTAAGATTTTATACATATTTGCGACAAAGTGTGCATAAGGAATTAGCTATTGAGATACTTGCATCCGCATACTCCAATGCCTATATATTTACTCAATTCATGCCTATTCCAATAAGCCAGTTGCATATAACACATTATTGTTACAATCGTTTTTTTAACGTCCATCTCTGAAATTCCTAAAATGGGTGTTCATCTGACCATTTAACCATTTACTATATTTTGAATGACGAACAAGAATTTGAAAAGTGATTTCAAAGAAAATTACAGCTTTTCTCGGAATTCAAAGTAATTACAGTTATATTTTATAGATAACATTCTCTTATTTTTCACTCATTTCCCTACCACGCTTTAATTACTACTCCGCTGTAGGTACATGTTCTGCTGCAGGTGTTCTTCGTCTCCAACACTCGTCTCTACCAGATTTTAATCAGAATGTTTCAATTACAATCAGGCTGCATAGGCTAGACTTAGTGGTACACAAGGGCATTTTTATTACCGCAAGTTCACATTCTAATAATATATTAAATATGAAAATAACTCACTAATTATCTATATGATTATCTACCATCTGTCACTAAAATTGTTCGACTTTTTTAAAAATGTAAAAATGTTCATCAAAATATTGCACCAATATCATGGCGGGAGAGGGTATGTCACTGAAAGGGTGAAACTGACACGCAGACGAACGTACCTTCCGATTCACTAGATTCTTTAGAAATATCTGACGAGCCGAACTTCTGAAATGATAGGTATCCAGATCGAGTTACATTTCAAAGGAAATAGAACAAATAGTGTAGTGTAGTGTAGTGTAGTGTAGTGTAGTGTAGTGTAGTGTAGTGTAGTGTAGTGTAGTGTAGTGTAGTGTAGTGTAGTGTAGTGTTGTGAAGTGAAGTGAAGTGAAGTGTAGTGCAGTATGGTGTAGTGTAGTGTAATTTAAATTAAAGTTGTGTGACAGAAAGCAGAATTGGTCAACGTTGTGCGCCTTCCACAAGTTACGGGTTACTTAAATTAAAAACAAAACAAATTCCGTCTCTACATTTATTGCTCGAAGAGCAAATCTAACGTAATGTGACGTTTCTTAAAATCATTCCAGAGACGCGTCTACATAGGTTGTATAATTTGAACATATATAAGCACATGACGCGTGAATTGAGCTGTACGTTGGTGGCCATACTGGTTTGTCCGGACCGATTATGAGGTTTGACTCGTAACCATAACGACCAAGTGTGTTAAACGTTTCAACGTCTACCATTTTCCCAGTGGCAAAAGTCGATTTCGTAAGAAAACAGAACCTTACATGTATCGGAGCTGAAAAAAACATTGTTATCACACTACATTATTCGTATGTCGATATTATCTCCATGAATGACTTATTATTACGACAATGCGATGATAGAAGTCGTCATGGTTACTTTATAAAATTTTACATAAACTGTCAAGAGTCATATTAACTTTATTTTCAGATTATTATATTGTATTAAATGTTTAAAAGCATCAAACGCCAAAGAAAACTTCAGTCATGTTTACAAACGCAACACAAATAATCTTTCCTCATACAGATTGACAAATTCGATGAGACCTGCCCTTTGTAATGAACAAAGAAACTATGGAAAATACCGTAGAAAAAGTTGCGCTAACATTTTAGCATGGAAATTAGCTAGTATGAGAGACGCACGTCAAGATATATAATAAAGAAAACATTTGAAAAGAAGAAAAAAAAATAAGTAGCTCACCACACCCTCTGGATTATACTGGGCACCCACCACAAATACCATCGTGATAAAAATGAACAGTCTTTCCATGATAGCGGGCACGACTGCGTACGTACGTTGTAGCTGGAACAGAAAGAATGGTAATCAGTGTGCGGAGTATTACCGATACAGGATATGAGCGTATAAGTAATCTCATTATAATAATAATCACTTGTTACGAGACATACACCGCCAGGATGTTGATAACATCCGTGTTTGAAATCGATCTGTTGTAATCTCTAAGGCTTTTACATTTGTTGGCGAACTCCGTAAGTGAACACGGAAAATCTACTCCATCAAAATACTTGACATGGCATGGAATCTAAAACAAACATTCGTCTAGGTCTAGATATCTCACAATATCTCAGGCACATCTTCGATAAGACAGTGCATGGATATATTTGTTTATAGATAAGTTCTTATTTCAAAGTTATTAGTGTAATGTATTCTACATTCAACGGTTTAATACGAATATACTGACGACAATGCTGGAGCAAAAAAAATCGAACCTTTAAGGCACTTGAATGACGGTGTATAACGAAGCTTCGTCCGTGTAAATCGTCGCTCAGAGCAACCATGACGTCACGTGCACACTCCATTGTAATTACCATATTAAGTATTTTCAAGCCAGCCCTGGCAGTACGTCATACTCAACGTAGCGGATGCACTCGCCGATTATTGTTCGAGGCATATCTACTTTATATCACGAAAGTAGGGTAGTTCGTAAAGGTTCGATGACATTTGGCGTTTGGTCACGGCATGAACGACCATGAACTTATACGGCTGAAAATAGTTAGAAATAAAATCATATAACGATGACTTTTTAATCATGCTATATGATGTTTATGTCATTATTAAACGTTGACTATACAGTTGAAATGATAAGGTACTTCTCTGTAATCTAAGAACCCGTGCTTATGTGATGCTCATCCAAGAAATTAATTAGATTTACTAGACATTCTTATAACTTGAAAAGGTTTTTCAACTCTTTGAAGTTAATTTCTAAAACTAAAAATCCCTAAAAGCATTTCATTTTGGTGATTTGTTTGTATTAAATTGATTAGGTCTCGTTGCCTAGCCTACGCACAGAACTGTCTAATGAACATCAAACCAGAGAATAATTGGTTACTTTAGTCTGCATGAAACTGACAGAAAGCCTGAGTATCACTTTTGCTACTTGCATTACACTTGACATTATACTGAACTCATACGCCTGACAAAGGCATCATATGTATTAAGATAAAATCTACGAAACTAGGTAGAATAAGCTACATTTTACAGCTGACCTTTTAGGATGACATTTGTCTGCTCGGTTGATATGAGACATCTCATTATGAGGACACGCGAAATGGATTAGAACGGAAGAAAATATGGCTGGACTCGTAGTGATAAGGCTGTTGCGTCAATTGCACCCCAATTGCAAATAATTTAACAGAACGCTTATGAAAACGTGATTCAATGACCTAAAATCGGACGTTTAAAACCGCCATTGTGTGTTGCATTATATGAACTGAACTGAATTAATTGAAGGTTGAACAAGCGTTTATTGGGCTTGCTTCATAGGTGGGTTTATTTTGCTATGACTCTACAATGATAGGAGGGGTGGGGGTAATCACATTCCAAAGATGTTTGTCATTCCAAACAGTAACGAAATAAAATTATTCGACTGACAAGAGGGGTTTTTGAAAGTCACAACGTCAAAGTAGAGTAGCTCAAGTACCACAAATTAGTTGTTGTAATTCTCATGTTAAATCCATTCGATACCATGACATTCCAGTATTAACATTTCCAAATAAAATGAGTAGTAAAAATAGTTTCTCCATACATTTGTTTTATAAAATGAAAAAAAATCCATGTGTGTTCCCTATTGTTTTTATGTAAGATCACACATAAAGTGACGTAATCACATTATGCTTACTGGTTACGTATAATTTAATTGATTACTATGTTATATTATCTCAGATTGGCTAAATATCCCTCACTCCAAACTGCGAATCAAGTAACCAGCAATGATTGCATATTTATTAAAATGTCAATTTTGTTCACTTTTTTTATAGGTTCTTAGTTTGCTAGTGATGTATGTTTGTTCTTTACTGGTGTACGAATTGTTATCCTGATTTCACAGTTTTAACCGTTTTTGAACATATATATCTTCTAATTTTGTATTAATTACTTTTCTCTTATTTGTTGTTATTATTGTTTCCACCTCCCCCGTGTTTGTTCAACTTAATTGTTTGTAGCCATTGATTGATCAAAGCTATAATAAATGGTTATTATTCTAACACGAGAAAATAATTATTCATGTGTAATGCTGCTTAAATGAGAATAGATGTATTGGTTTGCACTCTTGCCCAATACACCTAAACATATATGTGTGTTTATGGGATATCTTCGAATTCCTTTTTCAATCCTTAAAGTATTTCTAACAAAAAATGTTACTATTACCATTTGTAATAAATTTAAATGTTAAAGTGTAACGGGCCACTGTTTTGCTTGGATCTCTAAAATAACATATTTTTGTTCAATTGGAACTGTTTTATTTTCAATTCTCTTATTATTAATAATAGTATTAATGTTATAATTAATATGATATGATATGAATTTTATTCAGTACAATGGCCTCAGGCCTATGGTACAATAAACAAACAAAAAATAGAAAAATACATACAGAGGAATTCCTTTAAATAATTGTTGAAATCTACTAATCACAACTGGTTAAGTAGATTGACTCTGTGTTTAGAAACGTAGAATACAAATTTTGAAATTTGAAGTACAGATAAGTTGTCAAACTGCATTAAACGAAGACATTTTTCGTAAGTCTGATTTGACAGATAAAATATCGGTAAATATTTGTTTCTAAGATTTACATAACGTGGATATACCAAGCAAAAATGGTATTCATCCTCAACTAACCCTAAATTACATAATTTACAGATTCTTATATTCCTCGGTATGTTTAGTTTACGATCAGATTCAACCCGAAGGTTGTGGGATGATGTTCTAAGCTGACATAGTGCAGAACGTAACTTGTTGTCTTTTATTAAATGCAAATATTTTTCACATCCAAAATCGATCTTAAAATCTCTGTATTTATCGAGTTTAGGATAATTGTTGAGATCTGTAAACCAAGTTTGTTTGTACATATCATGAACTCTTTGGGTGAATAGAGACAAAAAAGGAACAGTTATCTTCCATGCCTTGGTTTAACCAAACAAAACCAAAACCGTGCGAAAATAGTAGTTCTTTGACTTGGAATTTATATTCTGGCCTCTTTAATACTAAAAAACAATTCTGTATGGTAATATGGTGAAATTTGAAGACCATATTGACCTTTGACAATATAACTATGTTGTCAGCAAATATTAAACATAAATAGCTTAATCTGCAGCACTCTGTTGTCAGTGACGACTTATATCATTGTCATACAAAAAACATACACGTTACGACGGAACCGATACCGATAACAGAAAACGTAATTGCATTAACTGGTTTCCATGGAGATTTATCATGATGGGCGTTTGAAACCATTTGAAATAGTTTTGGCAATTTTAATTTGTAACTTATGCGATTCCACGTGTTGTTCATTATGTTACAGAAAATGTTTGTGTATTCATGATTTCACAACGTAGGACATGAAAAGACCAAGCCTATCTGAACATCGTCTACTAACTGAAAGTATCTCTGCATTGCCATTGCAGAAATTAACACCTACTTAACTCTTATACCTCTGAATTTACATTGCGACATTCATTAAATATTGAGACAAAGTATCTCTAAATTTACAATACAGCATTCAACAATGACTGGCCGATGTTGTCTCTGAACCAAAATTAAGACATTCAACAACTACTAGCTGAAGGCATCTGTGAATTTACATTCACAGCATTCAACATCTGTCAACTGAACGTTTCTCAAAATTGAAATTATGACATTAAACAAACACTGTATTTGAGCATTACGTATGATAAATGTCCCACGCCGCCATAGACGATAATGAGCACAAATCTCGCATATGATAGACGTGACATGCATAGCAATTCCCGATGACAAGATACGAGTATGTCCCTGGTGTGATATTAGTATGCGATGAAGATTACAGCTAATCACACAATTCTATTTCTAGTAAAATGTACTAGATATGCTAAAGCCCACATTGGACAGCAAGTTCACCTAAGCCTAAATTGTAGTTGCTAGTATTCAGTCCAAGCCACGAATTTCATCTTACAAACACTGCATGTTTGTACCTCGAAAGTTTTCTTTGTTGAATTTCATTAATTATTATTGACATTATGAGTTTATATCGATTTCTTCCTATGCTTTCCTTTGTCATGGCTTGAATCCTACAATGGAAAAATCAATATATCGTCTATGATGAGTCAGTATGAACTGAGTGTACCCTACATTGCCTATTCGGGTAGATGGGTTCCCGATTTAAATATTTGTTTTGTTCTGTTTCAGTAATACCATAACAGCGTCACAATCTTCAATGATGAAGAGGAAACTGTAAAAGCATTCACAAGTCGGCAGCGCCCAGGGTCATGTACATGACATTGACAAAGGCATTATATACAGCAGTCTGAACCCTGAACTTCTTTACTTTTCACATTTAGCAACTGTTAATTAGGTTATTTTAATTAATTTCATCATATAACCACATTCTCTGTCTGTCGACTAGCATATGAAATAGAGGTAGGATCTGTCAGTTGTATGATCAAGCAAACAACATACACGTTCACTATACACAGACAAGCCCATCTGGTATGTTCGGTCGTTTAATGAGGTTCTAAGTTTGATTACAGACGTTTTTTTACACAATACACCACAATGAAATGTATTATCCTATAAGCATAACATGATTCGGATATTTGTATATTTTCGTATAGCGATTATATTTATGTGCTAATTGCAATCAACTAAATAATTTATTTCTGGTCTATATGGTAATTTTATTATGATAAATTCGTTTAATTTTCATATAACAGAAAACCCGAAAATACAAGCGGTTTATCGTAACCGACCTCCAACCGGTTTCCTTTTACAAGTCGCAGGTAGACAGTGTCACCTTTGACCAGCTTCAAAACAACCCCAGCGCTACCAGTATCACCGGTATTGCCGGTCTCGTGCACGGAAACCTGTTTCTCATCACTTTTCTCCAAGTCGACTTGAATCGTGGTTACGTTACTGGGCTTTCTCATGTTGAACGAAAAATAGTATGTGCCCGCGTACTCGCATTTGAAGATGCCGGTTTTGTGGACGAAATCGCCACCAACGTTGGTTAATGACTTGCTGAAACTAATGATCTCATTATTAGCAAAGCCACAAGCAGCGCACGTACACAACCCTGTGAACGCAGACTTCTTTTTGCTGCCGCCTTTACAGTCTTCACCGGGTTTACCTTTCCATCCTCGCTGTCCCTTTTCACCCTTGGGGCCATTCGGTCCTGGTGGGCCTACCGGGCCTGGTGACCCTTTTGGACCAGTCGGACCTTTAGGTCCAATAGGCCCAGAGCCGCCTTTTTGGCCTGGTTGACCAGTACTACCCTTTTGACCCTGGCAGCCTTTTTGTCCTGGTGGGCCCGGAGGTCCAGCTTTACAGTGATTCCAAGAAAGTCCCCCAGACCAGGAACCAGATCTGGAATGAGATCTGGACTTTGATTTCAATCCAAACCAACCACGTCTTTCCAAATCACCCAAACCATCTTCGCCACCACCATCCAACCCTCGCGCATCTTCTTGAACTAAAGGCTCTTCTGCGTCCTCATCTTCCAAGTCTCTCTTGTCGACGTCTAGCTTCCTGTTCGATCACATTATCCTCCTCTATGTCTCTAATTCCAGGTCTTTCGGCTGCTATATTCGCTGCGTGCACGGCGCAGCAGAAGCCGATCAACAGTACCAATACTATCTTCATCACGCAACTGTAATGAAAGTACATTATTAAATAGTGAGATATGTTTGTTGATATAAACACCAGGAATTGAATTATCGTTAATTGTATAATACATATGGGAATGTACATGCACTTTGGCCTTAGTTGTACAAACACAAGAAAGCAATGAAAACCATAAATCATATTTATATACCCAAAATATAAAATATCTTTTTGAAATGCAGATACTCAAACCTTGACTATTATTGATGATATTTTATTACCGGAGTGAATTACATCCCATTGTGATGTACATATTGTTTTAGATGTTATTTTTACTTAGGGTTTTTGAAGATTTGATTGTACGCGCATAAACATAAGATCGTTGGTTTTTCGACGAAGCTCTCAAAATGCAGTGACCCAAACCTTGTAGAAACTAAATTATATATACGTTTAAATGAATTTAAAAAAAAACTATCAAGACTATACAGATATATTCAGTGAATGGTAATTTATAACTGTCTCAAGTAATACATTTATTTAACTTGTCCCACAGCTCTGGCCATTCATGTAGAACTTTTATTAGTTATATAATTATAAATAATTCGTTGAAGAACAATGTACGCAATCAATCAATCAATCAATCAATCAATCAATCAATCAATCAATCAATCAATCAATCATAACATGAATAGCTCGCACCAAATATGATTGATAACAAAGTATCAACATCAACACAAACCATTACCATTGCAGACATACTTCATTCAAGAACCAAAACGTACATACATGTATAACACATGTATTCATTTAATCATCCTATAAACGACAAGATTTACAAAATTAGGTATAGTTATTAACTGTAAATATTTCATTAACCGGTCACTGGTAGCATAGTAGTTGTCGCATCAGACTCATGATCGGTAGACCAAAGTTCAAATCCAACCTGAGGCTGAACATTAAAAGGGTCGACCCATACCCTGGGTGAGTGTTCCACATACTCAATGGGAAGGCCAATTCCACGGGCCGAGATTCATTCACTAACGAATGCGAATTTGGGGGAACCTTGATTAAGGTCTGCAGGTGCTAGTGTTCGACCGAATCTGGCTGACGCCAGGATAGCGCATTAAATTGCCATTTGATAGGAGGATGGCTGCACAGCCCTGTCATGCAAATATGAATATGAATATGACTTCTGTGGCAAAAATGCACTATGTGTCAGCACTACCACTTGCAATTTGCATATATAAAAAAGTCAGGATAGACAACTGTCGCCTCGCACAAAAAAACAACAACATATATTTCATTAATACATTTGTACAAAAATAAAAACATCGCATATGACTCTTCTTGTCTTTAAATATGTTAAAGCGTATACTTGTTGCATTCAAAACGTGACACAAAAACTACCAGCAAGTTGTCGGTGAAGAAAATAAAAAAAAATCGAATACTTTAATTATAGAATTGCGTAGAATTCGAAAAAAACAGAAATGAATCATACTGCTCTATCAATCCAGTATATGTCAGATATAACTGAAGCATAACTATAGTAGAAAAAAAAACTTACCGTAGGTGTGCCCGGGTCACTAGAAACATCAGACTATTCCAAAATGTAAGACACCATCCCTTATATGCGCCGAGTGTTTACCTTTCATATACAAGACTACACACACACAACAGGTTTGACATTTTGTTTTTGTGTGTTATAATAATATTTAACTGTAAAGTCTGGTAGTCGTAAATATGCATGCAATATGGTCACATTTCTGAAAAAAAAATGTCGATAATTTACTTTCTTATATCCGGTCTGACATTGTCAATAGTTTAAGCAATTAATGAGAACGGCATTTATTATCGTTAACTACATGGGATCAACTGGCTATATCATCGATACTTGTATCGATATCGGGTGGTGTGGTTGGGATTATACCATGGTATAATATTCATTCGTGAAAGTGAGTGTCATAGTCAATGTTCATATAAAGTTTGTCAGATGTTGTCGATTGTTTCTGTAGAAGTCTGATATTCATCAGAGGTTGATTTGTGATTTGTATCTGATTGTAAGTCTTTTGACTACATGGTGTTGATTACTTGTTGCCATCGAAAATAATTCAACCAATTTGAATCAGCTACTAATATTTCCATATAATACACATACATAATTAATTAATTGTATATGACCACTGACACTTTTTAATTAGTACATGATAAAACATTTAATCAACAGAACTGTAAATATAAATATTATTTCTGTCTT